CTACAGCTGAATTTCCCGAGCCCGAGACACTTACTATATCCTCACTGCATTGCCAGCCTGCTTGTTACAAGCTTGTGTTAGCACTTTCTGGTTATGGTTCTGTCAAATCCCAGGCCACTCATGCCTCCCTTGCCCTTGCATGTGTTTTTATAAAGTATTATGATTCTTCCTAATCCTGGGCTTTGTTCCTTTAGAAAAACACTGCAACTCGATCCCTCCTCAGTTAATGTCATGGGACTGAGTTCACTCCGACTTGGCTTTAAGCAACTGATGCTCAAAACATCTGGCCCATGTGGGTAGTAGCTGTGTTGGGGAATGGAAATGCTACCAGCTACCACAGGTAAGCATGGTGCCACTCAGCCCCCTGCAGCTCCCACTATCAATGTCCCACAGAGGTAAGCATAGCTTTAGCCGCTACATGGCTCCCCCACTCTCTCCTTTTGCTGCCCGGATGGGGAGAAAGCAGAGGAAATTGGAGAATTCCTCTTTGACCGGGCTCCGGTCAAGGTAAAACATAACAGACCCCACATGCTGTTCTGAGGGCAGCTTCTGATCGATGGCCATGCCACTTAAAGAGGTTGAAAATGCCTCTAATGGAAAGGCTTAAAGCTCCTTCCCATAAGCCCAAGTTCTCTTCCAATTCTTTTCTTACAAGAATGGCAACGGGAAGAAAATTAACGGGGAATTCCTATGTGGTCAATTAGCCAGACCCCCTTCCAAGCTCTTCTGGCACTGGCTTGAGTGACTGATGAGTGAGGCCTGCCATATGCCGACTGGGTAAACAGCGCAGAAGGACTGACTGCCACAGTCCGCCAGACAGGGCGACAGATAAGGAATGGGGGGAAATAAGAGAAGGTAATGGAGACCAATTGGAAGAAAAAGACAGATGGAAGGAAAGGGCATATTGAGATAACAGTCAAAGACAAACAAACAAGGGCAATAAAGCCAGGAGCCACCACCACAAGGACTCTGATGTGGAGTGAAGGGGTGAGGGGGTCACGACTGCCTGAAAGATAAAAGACCTCTGGTCCCCTCCTGTCCCTCTCAGCTCCTTCTGAGAACCACAGAGAGCAGGGAGATGATCTTCTCTCCTGCCACCAGAGCTCTTCAGGGTTCAGGGAGAACTTTCTCATCCACAGGAAACTGAGTGAGGAGACATGCCAAAAGTCTGCCTAGAAATTGGAAGATATCAGTTGAAACACTGGCTGGGAAAGCGGGGCCAGGCTGTATATGGGATGGCACCCAGCGGCCACTCAGCAATGCTCACTGCCGTGTCTCCTTTCTTTCAGCACCAACATTTGGGAGTATGGAGTTACATGTGCACCTTCCTACTTCCAAAACCATAATCTCAGAAGTGAAAACATTTAGGAACGCAGGACTAGATGGGACCTCCTCGGTTATTAAGTATGATCTGTTGCTATTGTAGGCAGCGCTTCAAATAATATTTTCCTTAAATGTATAGAATGCCCTTTTAAAAGCAATTAGGTTTTCAGCCACCATTATTCTGATCAGTATTCCAATGACAAAGTATCTTTTTCTAATTTCCAGTCTAAATGTATCCCCATTTGCTATTGTGCCAAATTGGCCTTTTGATTAAAAAGTACTTTTCCTCCCCCTATTATTTTTCCCACTAACACAGACACCAGTCAATATACTCTCTCAACTTTCGCTTTGCTAGGCTAAACATGGCAAGCTATTCCAGCCCACTTTCCTTAAGAAAAGATTCCTATACCTTGGGTCATCCATAACAAGCCTTTTCTAGTCTGAGGTCATTTTGCTTGGGAATATTAGTACATACATTATTTTGGGGCCTCACAAAAGCTTAATACAATGGCATTAGTATTCCCCCATGTTTTACGGAAAGACTTTCCCTAGTACATTATAGGATATTTACCATCTTCTGAGCCGTATTACATCTGCAGTTATCTGCAGCTGACTGCTGCAGCCAGTTCTTTTCTACTTATTTCCTAATGACTAAAAATGTATTTCATGCAAGACCTCAAATGATGATCTTAATGTTATGTTGTCAGATGTCATTAGCTGCTGTACAAAATTTGGATTCTCCTCTGTATTCATAATACCTGCCACCTTTGCATCATAAGCAAACTTCATCAGTCCATTCCAAATTCTTGTGTTGAGGATGAGAAACAAAAATACCAAGTGTTGGTCTTCAGACAAGTCCTTGAAGAACTCTGCTAATTAAGCTCTGCTGAGATCCAGATACATCCTTTCAGACAACTTACTGACATCTTTCCTTGAACCAGTTTCTTGTTCCTTAACATAGCTGCTGCATTTTTCCTTATCCTTCTCAATGTAACCAAGCGTTTCCCATGCGGTAAATACATTAAATGTCTCACAGACATTCAGATAAAATGAGACCTATAAGATCTATTTTCCTTTTTAGGAATTCAATGATGTTCTAAACGATTGTGTGATCAACCTTTGAAAAATTCTTCTCAAATTATTTCCCATTTTGCCTCTTCCTCTGAGATATTCTTTCCCCCAGGTCCTCCTGTAAACGCTGCCGAGGCCACACTGCCTGTGCTGCCAGGTACCAGCTCTTTCAGAGTGCCAGGAAAGAACGTGGGCACGCCCCATCACTTGCGAGCTTTACGCTACCTGAGTTTTGCTTCCACCTTGGTTGTGATAATTTCCATTTCTAGCCTTTCTCTTTTGCTCCCATGCTAATATATTTCTAGGAGTCAAGGGGAAAGGCTGCCCTGCACTGGCCAAATGCCATCCTGAACAGACAACCCTGGAACCCACAGCAATGCCATCTTGGAGCTGCCCCAGGTCTTGTCCCCATTCAGATCCTTTCATATTCATCTCCCTTCCTGATCCCAGCATCTCCATTCCTCACTAACCCCAAATCCTCATCTGCTCAATCCACCCCAAAGCCCCAGCCTCATTTACTCCAGAGCCCTCCATTCTTCCAACCCTTTGCTGCCACTTGACTCCCAACTGATTCATTCAACCCAATCCCAAACTCCCCTCCATCAGCAGTCCCCTACACCCTCCCATTCATCCCAGATCTGCTGGCCCCGAACTTCAGTACTTGCTGCTCAGCTCCTCTTCCTCTACCTGTCTGAACATGACAGCTGCTTCCTTGTGCCTTCCTCGCTCCCACTGGGTGCCAGCACCATCAGTCACTGCCAACTGTGATGGACCTTGCCTGCCCCTACAACACCCTGCCCAGCTTCTCCCAAAAAGCAGAGTCCCAGGGGGATTTAAAAATCTACACTACTGAGCACTTACTCCCCTAGGCAGAAGTGTTGAAGACAGAGAAAGCCATCTCCATTGTGCAGCAGACATACGGGACCCCTCCCCACAAGCAATGTCCCCCATTCTGACTTGAAGCCCCAAGTAAAGCACTCATTTACTTTGGGGATGGAAGCAACTCTGTCTTTAGACTCAGCCCCATCCCCATTGACTAGCAGCCTCCCTTCTTCCAATCTCCTCCAATTTACAAAGTTTAAAAAATTTCCGCTGTTTATTTTACTACTCTTTGCAGGGCCTGACTCAGCATGATTTTCTACTGTTCTCACTTCATCTTTACACTTCTTGACCTCTAAGAGCTTTTTGTTATTTATTTGCTATCAGTTCGTTTTTTTCCATTCTTAGTAGTCTCTCAGCCTATTCCTAACAGCTTCTCTGTGGTAGTTATTCATTCAGTGAGGTCTGGATATTCTTCCTACAAGCTTTTTCCTCTTGCTTGGCATGCAGAATTGTAATGGCTTTAGCATCTTTGACTTGAAAAAGTTCCAGACCTCCTCCACATCGAGTTCCTCGGCTGAGTTTACTAACTGGCTCCCCCTTAGTTTATCAGAGTTTGGTCTTTGAAATCCACAAGCTTAATTACACATTGGCTTATACTTTCATTTAATTTAATCTAAAATGACTAGTGTTCATTTAATCTAAGGTTATTTTCTATGGCCATCTGTTCTACAGAGTCTACAAAAACCAAGCTTGAAATAGGATTGTCTTTTGCTGGGCCCTTTGAAAAGCTTTTGTCCAAGTCCCGTTAACTGGAGACACAGAAATCGCCTTGAGAGCTTGTCTATGGAGTCCAAAGAAGCACAGACACTGTAGCATTCCAAGCACAATTTAAACAACTTTCTGCACTGTAGTAAAGGCAGGACATAACTGGTTTTGGCTGTATCCTTAAAGCAGGATGCAGCTTTCTTCCATCTAAACCATATCATCGTCTGAAATCACAGCTCAGTGAGATCCTTGCACATATAACAAGAGTAACAAGACAGGGCGTTTTACCCATGCTGTGGAGCAAGTATCTTCTGACTCAATTTTCTAATACAGATGTTACTGGCGCCTCAAACTACTGGCCATATTCTGTATGTCTCTGTATCCCTCAAGGCAATAGGACTGGCTGTTAAAAAGTCTCATAACATATTCATTCCCTATTTTAGGCAGAGTATTTATTTGTAGTAATCCAAGTTCATGACTCCAGACATGTAAGATGTTCAAAGCGAGTAATGCAGAGAAAAATGTCACTTTCAGGCTACTACTCTGTGGAGGAATGCCCCCACCGCATTTCTAAGCAAAGGCAGACCCTTTGCCCTTCCAAGCTGAAAAAAAACCCCCATCCCTAAACAAAAACCCACTGAGTTCTATGGCTTTCAAGTCCACAGTTTTCCACCTACTGCAAATTTACCCCAATCTGATTTTGCAAAAGAAGCATGGAATATTTGCAATGCTTCAACCTGACACATTGATTTCACAATCAAAAAAAACCAGAGCAAATCTTCTTTGGTGGCAAAATGAAGCCAAAATTACATGCAGAAAAGACAGATGTATATGGGAAAGGAAAGATAATTCAGTGACAATTAGAAGTAAGAAGGGGCAGAAAATTGATAAGGGAACTAAGGATATTAGTTAAAAATGTGCAAAAGAGCAAGGCTAAGTACACTTAATAGGATTTCTTAATAAGCATTAGAAATAAAATTAACCTTAGAAAAGCTCACTACTAGGGAAGAATGATAAAAATTTTAAATGCCCTGTGGAAAAGGCACAAATATTCAAGTAAGTATCTCTGTTCTACATTTGGAAAGAGGCAGGATTACACAGTTGTACCGCATATGAATGACGCTATACCTTCCAGGCTATTAATCACAGAGAGAGGAATTGTCTAAAAAATTGCCTAAAAAGCAAATGTGCATACACTGAATGCATACAAAGAGGGAAACTTCACCTACGTTTACAGCATCAGGGAGACCGATATCAGAACCCAGGATGTAATTTTGGTATCCATTTTCTTAAAGGACATGGGAAAACTGTAAAGGGTACACTAAAGTGACAAGAAAATTATTTGATGGCTGATGAGATCATCTGAAAGTGAGTCAGTCTTCAGTGCTCAACCTAGTTTGTCAAGAAAGAGTAGTGAATAAATTACAGTAGATAAATAAATACGTCTATGCAGAGGAAATTTTGATTATTAAGGGGCTTTTGGATCTAGCTGTAAAACTCAGAAAAAGAACTGATTGGAAGCCGACACCAGAGAAATTCAAATGATAAAGAGACACAGTGTTGGAACAGGGTGATTAATGATGGTAGCATGCTACAAAGGGAAGTGACGGATTCTCCATCCCTAGGGGTCTCCAGATCAAAACTGTATCTTCTCAGAAAATGTCTGTCACCTGGATGCAAATTATTTTTTTTGCCCAATACCAAGGTAACTGTGCAAGGCATAAACTTCAGACATCGCCAGGCAGCCTGATTCAATGTTTGCTTCTGGCCTTATATTCACAAAAATCTGAATGATGGCAGGAGACAACTCCACATGCTAACAGATTCTCTTCTTCACCACCAGCCTGTCACTTTGGCAGCTCTGGGAAGCCAGTTTATGAGCTGTAAACCTTGAAAGTCCATGACAGCGCCTAGTTTATTTGGAAAGGACTTACATGTCTGCACACACGTGCCATACAGTATCTCAACAGACCCAAAACCTCACTGGCTTTAGCTGGCAATGGAAGCCTGCCATTAAAACTGGCGTATTATATTGTCTGTAATAGTCACATAAATGCAGAAAATGTGACCATATGCCATTTCAAGGGAGTTACTGGGGCATCGTTCGACTATCCCTCATCAAACCTCCAAGTAATTTGGTATCTAGCTATCTCAAGCCTTCTGAATCTGCCTCTGAGAAAGAGGAAAGGGGCAGCACTCATCTTACCCTGCGACCAGCCTCATTGTTCTGCAAGTTCATCAGCATGCGCGCCTGCTCCTCTGAACCTCTCACGTAGTTCTTCTCCCTCTCCTTGGCATCCACAAATTCCTTGGCAAAACGATACCCATACTCCACGTTATCCCCGCAGCCACCCCACAGCCAGTCGCGGGGCAAGTCCTTGGGCCGGGCGGTCCAAGAGCTCTCCTTCACGGCAAGCCCGGCTGATGGCGTTCACCACCCCGGCAGCACTGACGGCGTAGGTGAAAGCAGTCTCTCGGCTACCTGTGAGAGAGACGTGAGAAGCAAATTAACAGGAGACAGATCTCATTTAACAAACACAACATGCAGCAAGGAGCAGGCAAACGGGGTCCGGACAGTAGGACATGGTGCGCTCTGAGAAGGTGCACAGAATCGACTGGAACAAAGGAATGGGGTGGTCAAGCACAAGAGACACCACCCTGTTCTGGCAGAGGGGGAACTGTCACAACACATGCTTGCACCCCGTTTCTGTTTCCATTTCACAATAACGGCTCCAGTCAACTGAGCCAGGAAACTCCGAGCCTTGCCCAAAAGAAATAGCAGCACTATAGGCAGGGAAGGCTCAGCCTCCCTCCCCTCAGATCAGCCCCTCGGTATCCTCTCATCTTAACCTGGAGGAATCTCTCAAGAAGCAAAAGGGTTATTCACTTGCTGAAAATGCAGCTGCCGTCTCAGCCACTGAATCTGCCAATAATCACTGAGAACAACTAACGAAGTTGGGTCTGTGCGAGAGGAGTGTTCTGGTTGAGCCAGATTATCACTCTGGAACGGTTTTAATTTAATTGGGACAAGCACTCTTTTATGGGCACCTCAGTTCATCAACCTTACTTTGGTTTACATAAAGTCAGCTGAGAATTGTTTTGAGGCAACCTGAAGGAAATCCATTTTTACACTAAAGCATGAAGGCAGAGGCTCTCCCAACGCCTACAGAACCGCAGTGCTGGAACAAGTAAAACTTTCCCATGTAGACAATAATAAATGAAAAGACTTTCCATTAGCAGGTTTACTAGAGACTGCCCTGCTTGCAGTGTATGCTCTATACAGCTTAGAATCTTAGCCAAGCAGCTGGATCGGGTCTCCAGCTATGTATTCCTGGCAGTGATTCAGCCCCAATTTGACCGGGGCACCAACGCAGCCAGAACACTGCATGAGGCCAAGCGTGCTGCACCAGCAAGTGCTGTGGGTCTGAAAAGGGGGGAGTAGAGGGGGTGAGGAGGAGAAGGAGGCAATCCACACCTGCACTCTCACCACTCGGTGTAATAAATAGCTAAACCAACACCTTCGGAGTCATTGTGTGCATCACCAAACTTTCAGGTGATAAAGGGAACAACTGCCAAAGCTTCACTGGAATAAGCAACCTGATGGCGAGGAGCTACTTACACCAAACCCCAGCAAGAGGCGACCCTCTAATGCTCTCAAGCAAATTTGCATGACTTCAGAGGGCAGATCCTCCAAGAACAGTTTGTCACCAACCCACGAGGCTCTCAGTGCCAGCTCCCTCAGCAGGACTTGAGCTGATGCTTTTGGTATGCTCTTGTCCCAATTTGCATGTGCTGACACTCTGTAATTAATAGCAGCTTATCACCGGCTTAGCAGTAATGACCCAAGACAAAGGCAAGGCTGGGAATGGCATCCACCTTGCAGAACAACCTGTGATTTCGCCCCCACCACCAAAGGAGAGCTGTACACTGAGGGTTTTTTCACTGGAGTACAGCACAAGGCTGACAAGATGCTACGGGACACATAATATAGACGGGAGGGCCGTACTAGCAGGTCGTAAGGAGAGGACTATGTCCCCCAAACCTCCCTGATCCAAGGGGTAAAGAGGAGTGACTCCTAGTTAAAGTAGTTCAGCTGAGACTGGTCCATGAGGGGAGTTGTGGTCAATTTGCAGCAACCAAAATCATGCTTTTACTCAACCGAGTTTGTCTGGCATGTTCGGGGTATTTTAAGGCAACGGTCCCACGCGCAGCTTGGCCCCCACCAGCCCGTGCCTGTCGGGTGGGAGCCCTGCGGACCGGCCTGTTGAGCAGAGCCCTCCCTGCCCCTACAGCCATTAGGACACCCAGGCGGCCAGGGCCCCGGCGTTACCGCCCGGCCGAGATCCCTCGGCTGGAAGCGCGGGCGGGATTTGCGCTTTCACCGTCTGCGTTTTAACCCGCCGGCGAGTTTCCAAATGTAGCAGCACCACAGCTCCCAGATCATCTGCATGAGGGGTTTCGGCTGCTGAGGACGGCGGGGGGAGAGGCTGAAGCAAGGCACAGTGGGGCTTGGGGCTGTTTGGTTGGGGGTGTGCCCGCCCCCCAAAGCAGAACAAACCACGGTGCTCGGTAGATGCACCCGAGGTGGCAGGGGTGTTCCTCCCCAAATTTGTGCGAACGTGAGCAGAGG